TTAATAATATATTTTATTTAACCCAACATATCCAATATATATCATTTCAACATGCGATCAATATAAAAATTATTTTAAGTTCTTTTTTTTTTTTGGTACTAAATCTTTAAAATCTGTTATGCAATTTACACTTACAACATCTCAATTTATTCTAGCCACATCTCAAGTGTTCTATAGTTACACGTGGCTGGAGGCTATTATAGTGGACAGTGCAAAGGCAGTCAGAGGCAACAGAGTCTTTGATGTTGGACCCAGACATCTTGGATCCTGCCCTTGATTTTTCTTACACCTTGAGTTAGGAGTCCCCGTTTTTATGTGTTTGGAGACATATTCCTAATCCTACAGGTCAGAAGAATTACGTTTCTCTCACAGGCTCTGTGAAGTCCAGCTGCAACATTCTCCTTAAGTTCCTCTTGCCGAGCCACCAGTGACCTCTTGGCTGCTAAGCCAGTGGTTTTCAGGAGTCATTTCACTGGCCTCTCTTCTTGACTCATCTCTCCTGAGTTCCTTCCTATCTCTCTGACTCCACATTCTCCATACTTCCCTTCTATGTTGATGGTCTCCTGGGTGCTGCCCTTGGCCCTCTTAGCCTCTTATTCTAAAGCAGGGAGACCTGGGTAATCTTTCTTCACTCTCATCACCTTTACTTTCAAGGATCTTAAGTCTCTATTTCTAGGTCCAAACTCTTTTGCGCTCTGGACTTAAATATCTATCCAACTGCCTACTGGATCTCTCTCCTTTGGAAGATTCCAAAGACATTGGGAATTCAAGAAGACAGAATTATACCAATCATCTTTTCCCTCAATTTATTTATTTATTTATTTTTTGGTGAATGGCATCACTTGTTATCTGGTTATTGAAACCAGAAACCTGGGATCAACTTGACCCTTTCTGTTCACTTCTCACATCTAATTATTACCAAGTCCCATTAATTCTGCATCCTTAAGAATTCCCCTTCTTTTCATTTTGACACTTTAGTTTAGTGCTCACCATTTTTTTCCTGGGTTATGACAGTTGGTTTCTAACTGGTTTCTCAAGACTTTCATGATCTGGCAGTAGAGCGTAAGCTTCATGAGGGCAGTCATCCCTATCTGTTTCCCAGTGCCTAGAAAAAGCACCTGGCACAGAGTGGGCACTCAAAGAATATTTGCCGAGTGAATGTTGCATGAGTAAAGGTCTCTTAGTCCATCTTTTCAGCCTCACTTCGCACACCATGTACAATCTTCACTCAGCAACCCTACTTGAGTGTTTAGATTGCTGAGGAAGTTATGTTTTTGTGCATTTTGTACCTTCTGCCTGCATGTGCCTGGCTCACATCTACTCATTATTTAAGACTCAGCACCCACATAGTCACCTATAGGAAGATTTGTCTCCTCTAGTCTTGGTTAAGTCCCCCTTCTCCGTGGTCCTATAGCACTCTGCGCGTACCTCTAAAGTAGCATTATCTTGCTTTCTTGTATTTGTTGATAGATGTTGACTATGAACTCTTTGAAGGCAGGGTTTTTCATTCCCAATGAGTGACCTGTAAAAAGCACTTTATAAAGTTTTTTGAATAAGTGCACGAAATAGCTCTATCCCAACTGACATCACATTTTGTCCTTTCAGGCCACACAGGACATTTCAACAGTATTGGTAATGGTTTTTTAAAGCTGGTTAGCAAGTCCAATGATGTGCACTTTACTATCCTTTATCCCTTATACACTGACATATATATTATTTTGTATGTATGAAATATTTTATTAAAATAATTTTAAAAATTATTTTTGGAAGACTGACCCCATGTGCCAGTCTCCATCTGGACTTTAGGAACATGAGATGTAAAAACACAGGTCTACGTTCAAGCTGCTTATAGTCAGGAGAGAAGAAAAACTTGTAAACACGTAGTGTGTTTTTACAAAGTACTCTATGTGGTACCTCACAGGGTAACTGAAGGAAGTCAAGTAAGGCTTCACGGAGGAGGTACCCTTTGAGCTGATGGGAAAGCATACGTTCAGAGGCTTGCAAAAGTAGGGCTGATTTCTGTGGAGTGGTTCAGTAATGCTGAAGCCCAGGGTTCCTTAGGGTAGGATGGGAAATGGAAATGCAAGTGGGACCTGACTGGAGGACTGAATGGTCTGTACTTCATGTTTCCATAGGTAAGAGGCAGCCATTGAGGTTCTGTAAGTGGGGAATGATGTTTACTTTCATTCATTTCCCACCAAATACTGACACCGGAGTTCCAATTTGCTGCTTCTTGGTCTGACTTTTTATTTCATACAAGGCTCTCAAGCCCACTCAGGTCCATCGTTTTCTGCATGGATGCTGAGAAGCAGGGGAAAGGGATGATCCATTTCAGAAGAGAAATGAGTAGAAAGGCTGAGTTGCCAAATATGACACAGTAAGTAGGATAAAGAACTTGAACAGGAACCCAGGTGTCTTCTCTCCCTGCTCATGCAGTCAATTATCCTTCCCTGACCTCCCTGTCAGGGACCAGGCACTGGATCCTGGGGTAGGCAAATCATGAGTAAGGAAGAGAAATGGCTCTATACTACTGGGAAGCTCCCGGCCTGAAGGTGCAGATTGCACACCAGAAGACATACAAAGGGCAGAGAAAGGAGCAGCTGGGGACTCTAAATATCCAGAGGGAGGAGTCTGATGAGGGAATCAGGGCTTCATGGAGGAGGGGAGTGTGGAGCAGGTTTGGGAAGGTGAAGCAGAATCGGGCTTGGGAGAACGGAAGGTAGTGAGAACGATCATGTCGTTTTGGAGGTGAGAAAGAATGAAACCTATGCTGCAGTCCTCATAAGAGCTTTCAGCCTGGCAGCCTGTGTCAACAGCCTTGTGCAGCTTCCGATGTGGCTCCTGTGGGGTGTGTGAGCCTTGGCAGGGGCTGTAGGGTGGGAGCAGGGGCCCTGGGTCCCTGTTTTTGTCTTCTTCTTTTGCACAAGGGGGCCACCTTTCTGGAAGTCAGGTTATCTGGGTTCCAGATTATTTTCTCCTCAACCTCCCAGACATAAATCACAAGTGATTTCATTAAATGCACCTCCTGCTGGGGATGTTGGCTCATAATTCCTCTCTGATTAACCCCCACTACCCCAGCAAGTTTATAGGCCAAGAGTGGGAGGGGGCAAAGGGAGGGGAAAAGGAGGGCTGGGGGGAATCCCAGGCGGGTGATGGATGCCTCTGTCAGCCCAGCTCGTATTTATTAATAGTCTTAATACGGGAAGCAATAAAGGAAGAGAGGGATTCTATTAATTAAATCATTGTTATAATTAACTTTCATTAAAGGAGGATCAATAAAGAGGAGTTGAGATGGAGAGAGGAGAGATCCATTATCTCTAATTTCCTTGGAAGGGATTCAGGGAATAAGATGGGGTTGCTAGGAGACAGCAATGTGAGGGAAGAAGGAAGGATGTAAGATGTCATCCAGGTGGGGCTGGAAGGGGTGGGGGGGAGGGTTTCAAGTGGATGGAGACGGGGAATGGTGGGGTGGCAGTGGCTCACCTTGGGGCTCTGAAGGGAATAGGGGGTGGCTGATAAGGGAACTACTGGGATGGCAAACAAGGGGGGCTGTATGCATGGCTTGTGCTGGGCACTGCTGTGAGCGCTAGTGAGCGCGCAGGTCCTTAATAAATGCTTTATGATGCTGTGTGTGTATTCTAGCCTGTGAAACTGGTTAGAGTGGATGAATGTGTTTTTGTGACTGTGGAGTCAGAGTGTGCGCATGGGTGAGGATGGCAATGGAGGAAAAGAGGGAGGCAGGACTGGGAGGAAAATCAAGTAGTCTTTAGAGGTATGGGGTTTAGGGCATTTTTTACAAAATGGATACTCAAAGGTGTGCACTCTTGACAGGAGTAATGCCTGTCCTTTGGCCCAAAGCAACGACGATGGCTGCTATGGAGGGCGAAGAACTGAGTGGTGGGAACCTCACCTGCCTTTCAAGGCATGCACCTTGGTCCAGTAATCTGGGTCCCACTCCACCCCATCCTGGGACTAAACCCTGAGCAGAGCCGACATAAACCCACAGTTTGCTCCCTTCCCCACTGCAGTATTCCCCAAGCCAGACCTCCACCTGAAGACAAAAGTTCCTCCCTCTTCCTCTTTCTACTTGTGGCCAGTACAGCAGGAGACACAATAAGATAAAGCCACCTGGAGTCCCTTCCCTCTCTCACTCCTCCATCAAGGTCTAAGAGCCCAGTGTCTGGACCGTTTTTGCTCTGGTCACACCTCATGATAAGAACATATTTTATTAGAAGAGTTATACTTACAATATAAATATATTTGTCCAAATTATAGGTGGGGGGGGGTAGGGATATTAGGGCAAAGCTCTTATTGCTGGGGGGAAACCTGGAGAGGGAGGAAGGGCTGGGAAATGGGGGCACCTGGGGCCATTTGTTCCCCCATCCCTCACAGAAGGCACAAATGCATTATTTCCATGTGAGGACACTGAGGGGAAGGGTGGCAGGGAGGAGCGGGAGATAAGAGTACAGAAAACCTCGAAAATACAAAAAAATCCCTCCAAACTTAATATCTAATGGTATGGGAAAGGCTGAGGTGGGTGCGGAAAGCAATGGGAGTGGGGGACAGTAAGAGGAACCAATGAAGCTCAGAACCGAAAGAGACCTGCAGAGGTCGTGATGTCCATGCTGCTGCCTCAATGCAGGGCCCAGAGGAAACCCAGGGGGAATAAACACAGATCCCAAATAAGAGAGGGTAGGTGCCCCAGGGATTGGCTTTGGGGCACCAAAGAGTATGTGTGAGTGTGTGTGTGTGTGTGTGTGTGGTGGTGGTGGTGGTGTGGTGGCGGTTGGTGAAAGTGAGAGAAGCAACCAGGGCTCGGAGGCGCTGATTCTATTCCTCCTGGGGAATGCCTCCTCCATCCTGGCTCCTCCAAAACCGCTTTCAGTGGGTCAGTTCAGCCACTGCTTCCAAGAAGGACCTCTGCCTGGACAAAAGAGCCGGGTAGGAAAGGATGAAGTTGGAGAGCTTAGGGTGAAAAGAGCACATGGGAGTGGTTCTTAGGGAACAGACTATCGTGGAACTCACTGTGTTGGAAAAGAGGCATGAGACCTAAGTGTGTGTCTGTGCATAAGTATGTCGTATGTGCGTGTGTGTGTTCGTGCTTGTACTAGGGAGGGGTTAGATCACTCAAAGGTGAAGGGGTCCTGGGTGCTGAAAAAGAAATGTCCATCCATGTGGTCCTCCAGGGCATCCTTGTCACTCTCAGCTGGGAAGCGCTCCTTACAAATAGGGCACTCCTTCCATGGAGGGGTGGCAGGGCCCCCAGTGTTGGCCTCTGACAAGGGACCCACGGTAAAGCCACTACAAAGAGACAGAGAGGAAAGGAGAGGGTCAGTCTGCTCTATTGCCTTGACTCGTGGACCTCAGGGAGAGGGACCCATGTGCCTGGGCTCCCAGATTCCTGTTCCTAATGCAGCATCCTAGTAGTTCTCTCCTAGTCTCTCCCACAGCATATTTCTCCCCACAATACTGGAAGCCTTAGTTTCCCTGGCTCCCGCCAACCTTCTTTAGTCCCTGCTGGTCTCCGTAGTGTAGAGCCCATCCCCCAACCTCCTGCTCTCCTCCCTCCATCTCCGTCTGCTGCCTAATGAGGCTGAAAATGAGTCTGACATCGTCCTTCATCTTCCTGCTCCAGCCAAGAAGGATGACAGCATCACTCCCACCCTGCCCTTAGCGCATCTCACATCCAGGCAGAGCTAGTGATAAAATTTCTCTTACCCCTGCCTTTCCCTCTTGACCTGCTGTGGAAGGCGGAGGAGGCAATCTGATACCTGAATTCCCCATCCCTGCTGCTTTACCACCCAAAGGGTTTCCCCAGGGAAGTCACAGAAGAGGGACAGCATCTCAGGGGTGATCAGATAGATGCTGGATCTCAGTTTTCTCCCTGTTCCTGTCCCTGGGGGCTTGGTCACCTCCCTTCCTCCCCCAATGGAGCCTAGGTACCTACCTGGTAGTTGGGAAAGGGGTAGGGGCAGGAGAGAGGGGATGCAGGGCAATTTGGGCTCCACGGAGGATGGTGCTAGAACAATACAGAAGCCAGTTAAAGGCAGGGCCTCTGAGTGCACATGTGCATTGATAAGCTGAGGGGAGGGATTACCTCCTGGGAAGGCACCTGGGATTTGGAATTGTGGGTAATTTTCAGTGTCAATCATACCTATGTCTCCTTTTCTTGGCTGGAGCCAAGAAGAGGGAGGTTAGGGGAAGGGCAGGGAGACTGTTCACCTGCATGCCCTTTCTGGCATTCTCCCATTTCCCTCCTGTCCGCCCCCTTCTGCACTCACCTGGCCATATCATAGAATGCATTGCCCAGTTCAGGAAGCAGCAGGTTGGCCTCCTCACCCCCACTCTGCACAGCTGCCATCAGGACTGACTTCTCATCTTCAGCCTCCTAGGCACCAAAGAGATAGGTTGGGTTTTCAGCTAGTGTCCCAAGATGGAGGAGTACCACACTGGGACAGATAATGAAAGAGTAGTCCAGGTCAGTACAGAGAACAGTGGGCTGTCATAAGAGTGAGGCAGGAAAAGTGTTTTGGTGGGGGCTTGGGGATAAGAAGAGGAGTGTAGAGAACAGTTACTCACAGCAGTGAGGCTTTGGGTCAGATTAGGTTTTGGGGTGCTGTCCACTGGATGACCCTGAAGACAGGCTGGGCCTGCCTCCTTTCACGTAAGAAAAAATGAGACCCCTGTATGGCTAAGACTTCCTGCTCTGGAGGCTGGGCCACTGGGCTTGGTCCTACCCCATCTTCACTGCTCACCGAGTCAGAGCTACTGTCCTCAGCTGGCCCTGAGAGGTGGGGAGCAATGGGAGCTGGTTGGCTGATGACAACTAGAGGAGAAGCCTCTCGTGGCCCAGCAGGAGAGGAGCCTGGGTCTCCATGCTCACATAGGCCATACGGCGGGAGCCTCATGTCTTCGGGGGATTCATCCTCTGAGTCTGTCAGAGCTGCTGGGCAGCCTGCAGGCAGAACAGGAAGAGAAGAAGGATGTATTGTTAGAAGGTTGGATCAGCTCTGGCTCCTTTAGATAAGGGATATAGTTAAATTAGATAGGGGCCAGAGTCTGGGAAGGAAAAAGGCAAAACACAGAAGGCACAGGCAGCTCCCAGAGGGGTCACATGGAGCTTTCCCCAGAAGGAGAAGGAAAAGCGGGAAAGAGGTGTTACAAGATTGGGGGTGTACAGACTCAGCCCTGCAGCAGCTTCCTCATCCTCTGTGGCAGCGTCCTCATTCCACTTCTCATCTGCTACCTTCTCCAGGCGGGCTTCCAGCTTTCTCATGTACTCTAGTAGTTCCTGGAGTTGGGAAGGAAAGAGGTGAGGTGTTAGAGGCTGGGAAGATGCTAACTTTACTAACCTGCAGAGCCTTTTCTTGATTCATGATTAAATCTGAGCTCCTCTGGATTACATACCTTTACTGAAGGGTGGGGCAGCTTAAGGTAGATCCTCACCACCCCTCACAAAGGCCCTTCTTCACTCTGTACATCCCTCCCTTCCACCAGCAATTGTCCCCTGTCCTGCCAAGTCAGCTAATAAGAGGAGCCATGGTGCCATTTTTAGCTTCTGGGCCCTCTTAGAAATACCAGTTTCTCGGCCAAGAGATGACAAGAACATACAAAGTTTCTAGACCCCAAGTCCTCAGTTCTGGTGTCTAGGGGGCCTGAGTTAGGGGTTCTCACCTGCTTCTCCTCCTGCAACTGTTCCTTTTCCTTCTGGAGCACACGCAGGGCTGACCGCAGCTCTGTCAGCTCCCGCTTACTCTCTGACAATTGCACCTAAGGGAAAAGGGCCAGGTGCAGTCTGAAGCCTTGAATGTACCTCCAAGAACCTGGGCTCTGGGCTCTGGGACCTGGACCAACAATCTAGAAGCACTTCTCTCCATGCCTTTGTTTCTCTCTTGCCCAAACACACATAGGGGAAGCTCCAACATTTTTTCCATGAGTCTTTTGTCTTGGTTGAGGGAGATTCAGTTGCCTGAGTCCTAGTTTCTGCCTCTCGAATGGAGACCTGGATGACTGCTCTGGGCTGGGCTGCAAAGGCCTTGGTCATAGTAGGGCCACTCTAAAATTCTTTTAAGTCATCACTACTACACCCAGAATGTGGGCCCTGAGAGCAGAAAGGGACACTGCATGTTTCAAACCAGTGAGGGCTGAGAGGTGTGCAAGTGAGATGCCGCCTCCAACATATAAGTGAGCACCTTGCACTTTTGAGCCCACACCTAAGACGGAGGGGCATTGGCCTCAGGAAGCCATGAGACCAGGACTCAGGGGTGGCTAGGCACCTCACCAGGCTAGAATCCTTTTCCCGGGCCAGTTCAGTCTTGAGCACTTGATTCTGTGTCCTCTCTTCTTGAATGGCCTTTTCCAGCCGAAGTATTTCTGCACTCAGCTTCAGGATCTTGTCCTTCTCTGCCTGGGAGATGGCCAGAAAGGAAAATAGCAGGGTGAAGGCAAAGGGATGCCCCTGGCAACAGCACCATCTCTCATCGCATCCCTTCATTTAATTGAATCTTTTGGGAACAATTTTCCCTTCCTGCCTTCCTCATTCCTTCACTTCCTTGAATGAAGGGACCTGACAGGAAGGCACCTTGCTGATCAGGAATGGCATACGGCATAGCTTGGTGCCTAGAATGGTAAATGTTTCTGAATCAAGATGCTAACTAAGTTGCTATGGAGACCAGGGTTGAGACACTCTGCTTAGGGATGGGTCACACCTAGACGGTGAAGTGTTCCTCCCTCATAGCCCCTGCCCCTCAAGTCTTCTGAAGTTCCCACCACCCACTTTCTCTCCTCCCAGGAGATCTGACCACATAGAGGTGAGCCTGCCAGGTCCCCACACTGCTCTACCTCCACACTCTGCAGCATCCCTGCCCGCTCCTTGCTCCATTGGCTTTTTTCCTCCTTCAAGTGCAGACTGAGCTCAGCCAGCCTGCCGTTGACTTCAGCCACTTCCAGGCGGCTGTGGTGTAACTTGGCTATGGTGCGGTCCCTGGCTCTGGCTGCGCTGGCCAACTCTTCCCCAAGAAGAGCGGCTTTCTGCTGGCTTGAAGCTGCAAGCTCCTGGGCCCCTCGAAGCTGCTCCTTCAGGGGCTCCAGCTCAGCCTCAGAAGAAAAGATGAAATGGAGATCAGGGCTCCCAGTGAGTCATCATGAACCAGGGAGGCTTCCCCCCGACCCCCCGCATCAGGACTCAGGATTGGGTTGTTAAATCTTTAGCCATGTCTTTCCCCATACTTTTCTACAACTACCCCTTGGAACTTTCTCTGCTTCTTGTTGCCTAGGGTTTCACTCACCACCCGCTGCTGGGCCTGGTTTAGGGTGTCCTTCATCTGGGCCACCTTGTCCTTCAGTCTCTGGACCTGAGCACCCTGCTCCTCCTGCCGGCCCTTGGCCTCCTGGAGTTCCAAATTCAAGCGACGATTCTCCTGTTGTGCCATTTGGAGCTCGGCCTGATGGAGGCGGAGAGTAGGTAAAGAAAGGGGTATGTGTATTTGGGGTGCCCAGGGAGGTGAACCACTGTGATGAGAGAGGTCAAGGTTCTACTTCTCAGATTTAACACAGACTCAAGCATTCAGTTCTTGCCAGCCCTCCTTGGGTTCTCAGCTGAAAGTGGCTTAATTCTAAACATCTAGTCTCCAGCTCCCAAAACGAGGTATCCTGTCAGAGCCTAGGATCTTACATGAATCTAGGTATCCCGTGTCCCATTTCTGCTTCCACACTCTTCCTTTTAAATCAAAACACAGTCTGGGTATCCTATAGGCCCTGCAAACTCAGCATATTCTTCCAGGCTACCATAGGCATTTCCACTTTTATTTCTGTCCATGGTACTAACTGCTTCGCAAGTCACTCAGATATCTTGGTGTCATGCTTGGCTATGTTCTCTTCCTAGTGGCCCACAGAAAAGCCTATTGCTTCTCCATCTTCCATCTTGTTCACAGGCATTTTCTCTTTTCTATCTCCATGACCACGTTAGCTTAGGCTCTGGTCATTTCTTGCTTGGACTGCTTAATAACCTTACAACTAGTTTATTTTCCACAAGGCAATCAGATTAATCTTAAGTACAGTTCTTTAAATCATCAATGCCTCTTACTGCTTGCAGAATAAAGATTAAACTCAAGATCATTTACAATCTGATGTAGGGCTTACTGCAAACTCTTTACCCACACATTCAACTGCCCTGAGTGTTCTGGGTGTTCTAAGCCTTTGCTCATGTTTTCCCGTTCCTACAATGGCTTCCTTTCATCTGTTTATTCAAATTCTACCTATCCTTCATTGCTGAGCAAATAGTTTTCAAACAATCTTTTACAGAAGACTAGGGTTCTGAGAAAGCCATTTAGAAGTTCTGCAAGTATTTGGCTTAAACTTCTAAATTATTAAAAACTCTAATAAAACAATGATGCACAAACTCACAAGTTAACACATTAGAGATCACCAATCCACTGACATGTGCTTCCAGGTTAATTCATTTTTGTGCAAATATCATAATAAAGTTTCTACTGTATTTTCTATTGAAGTGAAGAACAAACAGATTGCAAGGTGGATAGTTTAAAAATTATTATCAATTCGCACTCACTTGTGTGTGACTCAAGGTGTTTTCAATATTGTACAACCAAAACAAATTCAGAGATACATTAGTTGCTAAGGCTGACAGAACAGTCATCCATAACCTCTAATTTCAAGGTTTGGTATCCATCAAAATTACCTAATTGCTTTCATGACTTTATAAGTAAATGTTATACTTTTAAATTTATAAAAATAAATTCATAGTAGCAAAATATTGCTTTTATTTTATTCAGTGAGGTTTCACTTAAGATGTAAAACTTCATTGCAGAGTGGGGCAGAAAGGGTTATACTGCTAAAAAAATTTAGAAATACTAGGCTAATTTATGCCCTCTTTTTAAAAATTCTTTCTAATGTCCCTAACAAGACGTTCCCCCATTTACCTCCATGGAGCATCATGACACTTTATTATACTCTCTGTGACACTTACTATGTTCCCCTTTGACAAATCCTGATTTGTGTATAAGACTTGTGTTCCCTAGGAGAGTGTACACAACGTTTTCTTTACATTTTTATCCCCTTTGGTGCCCAGCACTCAGAAGAGACTCAATGAACGCTGGATGAACAACTGAGAAAGCAAATCAACCCTGAGCCCTTACCTCACTTTGCTCCTTATCTGCATGCACTTCCTTCAGTTGCCCAAGGAGCTTCTCTTGTTCCCGAGTCAGGGCCTTCACTGTGTCCCTAACCCTGTGAGTAGAAGGATGGGATATCAGATAACTGACTGGTCACCAGAGAAGGAATGAAGGCCAGGCACTTCTGGCTTAAGATCTTCTACTGATGATTCCCTAGGCCCAGACCTCTACTTCTCTCTGGGATGCTCAAATCCCCAAACCAAGACAATCTTGTTCTGAGCCCCAGGTACCTAAGATTCCTGGTTCTAGAGCACAATCTAGAAATAAACAATTTTTTCCTTTTCTTTATTGTATCACTTTAAGGAATGTTCTGTTGATGGCTCCCTTGTTGTTTTCACTCAGTCAAGAGACTTGAATCCAGTCTCTTCTAGAAATGCTGATTATAAACTTTTGGTCTAGGTTAGAAGTTGGCAGACTTTTTCTGTAAAAGGCCTAACAGTAAATATTTTAGGCTTTACAGGCCATGTGGTTTCTGTGGCAACTACTCAACTCTGCCACTGTAGTGTGGAAACAGCATAGACTATAAGTAAATGAGAGAGCATGGCTGTTCCAATAAAACTTTATTTATAAACGCTGAAATTTGAATTTCACGTAGTCTCCCATGTAAAAAAATTTCCCATGTCAACCATTAAAAATTGTCAAAACCATTTTTGCCTCAGGGGTTATTAAAAAACAAGTAGCAGGTGAGATCTGGCACATGGGCCATAGTTTGCTAAACCCTGGTGTAGACAGTCTTTAATCTTTTCCAAATGCTCAGTCTGATCCCTGCTTTTCCATTCCCTGATCGAGAACCTAGACACTTAGTCTCTCTCTAAGGCAAGACTAATATATCCTGGACTGAAGAAGCCTCAGGGATCAACTCACTTTTTACTCTTGGATAGAATGCCTCTTTTCTTTAAAGAATTTAAAAAAATATCAAATCTACCAGTACTAAATTAATGAAAATTGTGTGTCATTTGATAAAAGAAAGAATTAGAGTATTTCTCCTGATGAAATTTGAAGAATAGGCAGGGGAGCTGGTCAATATTTGTGCTATTTTGTAGAAATAATAATTGTCTGGTAGAAGAAAGAAATTTATTCTATGTGGCTCCAGAGGTCTAAACCAGGACCAATGGTTAAAAGTTATAGGATGGTAGAGTTTGGCTCAATACAAGAGATACAAAAATAACAGCTGTCCGATATTGAAAAAAGCTGCCTTCTAAGATAGTGATCTTCTCTTACATACCCTCTTAAATACCTTATATCCCTCTCAATGCAAAGATACTATGATTTATACCTTTTTTTCAGGGGAGAGATTCCCTAACATTCATAGATCACCAGTTTTAACATTTCCTAATAGTGAGAACAGAGTCTAATCTTATTCTTTGCTGTGATAAAATCTGAAATCCATCCTCTCTTAACTTGCATTGACTATTCTACCCATTCTTTTTTCCAAATCCTCTACTCCTAGCTCCTGCTTAGCCTTTGCTGCACAATAAATGGTTAACTATGATTGCTGCTGAAGTTGAGGAATACAGAATAGGTTAGGAAAGATGGAAGGGAGCCTAGGCAGAAAAAGATATCCTTAGTAACTGGAATACCCTATGTAATGAGGTTGATAAGGGAAAAAGAAACCATGTGAGACAGAGTGTAGCCTTGCTTGCCTGAAACAGAAAGCTGGAGTTCCGGGGTCATAGGAAATGATGGGAAGTAATGGGAAGAGAGTAGGTCTCCTCACCTGTCTAGCTCCACCTCCTTTGTCAGAACTTTGTCACTGATGGTCTGGATATCATCTTCCAGCTCCAGGATGCGTGCCACGTGGTCTCCCTGCTGCCGGCTCAGGATGTCCCTCTCTTCAGTGAGCTCCCCGTGGGACCGGGAAAGCCCCTAGAATTAAAGTTCCCCCAGAAGAAGAGAGAAGTTGACACTCATCTCAAAGAGTGCAACATACCAGAGTTTGACTGTGCCCACCTCCCTATCCAGTCACCTTCCTCGAAAAAGAAACTAAGGGAATATTCCCTTACTGGTGAATACAGTGAGCCACCTCTGCCCTGCCTCAGCATTCCTGTGTTCAAAGAACTGTATCTCATTACAAATTTGGGATGTGTATCCTCTCATATCAACTTTAATCCCACTTGTTAGCCCTTAAACCTATTTCTCTGATGCCAAAAATAGCCCATGAACGTCTCCCCTTTATCCTCTTCACTAGGTTCAGATTTTGGACCCTAGGTGAGCAGCTAGGTCCGTCCCCTACGTGGCCCAACTCTCACCTTGTATTGCTCCATCAGCTCTGCATGCTCCTGCCTGGCAGTTGCCAGAGCCATCTCGAGCTCCTGCACTCGGCTCCTCAGCTCCATGACCTGCCCCTCCAGCTGCAGCTTTAGTTGCATCAGGTCATTCCTCTCTTGCTGGCTCTCATCCAGCTGGTTCTACAGGGGGCAGGATGGAAAGAGAGGTATGCCTGTGAAGTACCCATTCCAAGGTCCCTTCCCAATCATTCTGCAGATGCATTTCAGGGTTGGGAAGTTACATTAGCACAGGCTACAAAGAGGCAAGTAAGGGGAGGCTTTGTGTGCTACTGAAGCCTGCCCACCACCCAGGAGACATACCAGCTGGCACTCTTAACTGCTTACCCCTCTCTTACCATTCCCCACCCAAGGCCTGGTCCCTGCTTCACTTAGCAACTGCAGGGACCCTTGTCTTTCTCAATCTGCACAGACAAAAAGGATGGCTCCCCTCATTTCACCCTATCTGTTCTGGAATCAGATAGATGTGGGTTTAAATCTCCAATACAATCCTTATTAGTTATGTGACTCTGAACAAGTGACTTAATTTCTCTGAGTCTCTGTGTCTTCATTTGTAAAGTGATCCCTTAGTATAGGTTGTTGTAAGGTAATAGTAATGAAAATAATAAATGTAAAAACAACACAGGGTAGAAGCTCATACATCTCTTGACTCATGTGTTGATTCCATGTGTATAGAGCGTTCTAGAGGGTAGGAGTTTATCTAAATCACAGATAAGCTACTCATTTTCCCCTTCTAAGCCTTCCTCAGGCCTGTCCTCCTGTCTGGGGAGTGTACTTCCTCCCTACCTAGCCCTGGCCCTCACCTTCCTCAGGGAGTCTTCCTTGCTAATGTCTACTTCCACTCCTGAATTCTTCTCTATTTGGTCCAACAGAAAAATAATTTGAGCCACATGTATAATTTAAAATTTTCTAGTAGTCACTTTAAAAAAATTACTAATAAGAAACAAATGAAACAAATTTTAACAATATTTTCTCTAACTCAGTCTACCTAAAATATTATCATTTCAACATGTAATCAATATAAAAAGTTATGAAAATCTTTTACACTCTTTTTTTTTTTTAAAACTAAGTCTTCAAAATCTGGTATGTGGTTTACTCATACAGTACATCTCAATTTGGACCAGTCATGTTTAAAGTGCTCAAGAGCCACATGTGGGTGGCACCTTTGGTACTAGATACAGCAGGCCTGGGGCCATACCTATCTGCTCTCACTCTTCATCTATCCTGGAAGTGGGTCTCATCCTCCCCTTCCTCTGGCTGTTCCTTCCCTGCAGTGGCCTCACTCCACCCTCTGCATCTTCCTCCAGGGATATAGGCAGGATATAGCACTTGAAGAAGGAAGGATCAAAAGGCTCTTATGAAATCTTGAGTGATGTTGGTCCGTGGGTGGCTTGCTTTTCTGCCCTACATGTTCATGTCTATGTTAGATTGAGACTTTCTTGAAGGCAAGACTTTCTGTAACTCTCAATGAGGTCTCCAGCTGAAGCTACAGCTGAGGGGAGGGTGCAGTGGGAAGGGGTCCCTTGCTGTCCTCCCACTCTTTTGCCCAGGAACAGCTCTGCTGCTGTTCTCACCTGAAGCACAGTTGCCTTGGGGACAACAAGCAGGATGTCAGAGCCGCTGTCAGTCTCTTCCAGAGTCACTAGTTCATCCATGGGCCTTGGCTCTCGGAACTGGAAAGGGGGACTCTGCCCACACACCCGGCCCTGGCGGTTCACGTATCGGAACTGGTAGAGCTGGGCTCCTGGTTTGGGCAGGTAGCTGGCTGTAGGAAGAAGAATGAACCCAGGACCCCAATATGATCTGAGGTGCCCCTGGTGTATCAAATTATCCACTGTCTTTGGCTCTGGCTCCTTGCTCTCTGTTCTGTATTTTGCTTTCTCTCTTCTCCACTTCCCACAGGCTATTTCTGTTCCCTGGGATAATCTTCTCTCTCCTTTCTGCCTAGTTCTCTCCTTCCTCTCTTTCCCAAACCTACCCTCCTTAATAATAATAGTAACAATAATAATAGGAACTATTTATTGAGTGCCCACAATGTATCAGGCACTTGCTAACAGTTTTACCTATATCATTTAAAATCCTTACATTATTCCTGCAAGCCAGGCATCCCCTTTTACTGCTAAAATAACAAACACAGAGCGGTTAAGTATTTTTGCCTAAGATCAAATAGCTTGTAAGTATTAGAGCTGAGATTTGAACCCAGGTCTTTAGAATCCAATGATTCTAAATATATGACACCACCTTTTCTTCTTCCCCACTCTCTAGTTCCTCCATCTTTTGGTAGGAGGCTGGATTAGCTGCTCTCCACAATTCCTTCCATCCCTAAGTTTCTGATTCTGTGATAGTCCCTTAATTCTATGTCTGCTAAATCCTATTGGATATATATATTTTATTTATTTATACTTATTTTTTCCTGTCCTGTGTCTAACTTTTATGTTTCTGAGCCCACTTCCTTTTTCCAAACCTCTATCCCCTTGGTTCCTCCTCCCCAGTTTTCCATCTTCCCTTATACCTTGGAACTGGACACTGGCATGGACAGGGGAACCATCAGATGCACTTTCAGGCACTGAAGACCACACAAACGTGTGGTAATCCCGAACACAGGCAGCCTCCACCTGTGAAAGCCCAAGATGGGAGAGAATTATGGTGATGGAACTACCAGCTATGGATGGTAGAAAGGGATGATAGAATGGTGTTACAGGGGCAAGGATGATGAGAGAGAGGAAAAGTGAAGGGACACATATGTGTCAGGAGAGAGCAAACCTCAAATGGGTAGGTGAGCTTTGCTTATACAGACAGCCTCTGACAGATCTTTTTCCTGTGACATCTTTTTCCCTTCTCTATCAACACAAGATTGAGAATTCAAGAACCTCAATCTTGTGTTTGTCTTATTCCAACCAACCCATGGCTCATGAGTCTGAGCCAAAAGGGGTTCCAGGGATACCTTGAAGATGCCAATCCAGTCACTGGCACTGGGCACGGTGCCTGGGGGAAGGGTGTAGTGACATTCCACCTTGGTGTTGGGGATGTAGGTCCGGGCTACATTCAGAAAGCTGACTCCACACCGAGATGGTGCCCGGTTTAGTGATGATTCTTCCATTCTGCCCTCCTGTGAAACAAAAGATAAATATCCTAAAGTCTCTCCACTCCATTTTTCCCCTCAACTTCATCCCCTCCTAACTACAGTCCCTGCCACTACACCTGGAGATGAAGACATATCTGTCTAGTCCCTAAGGGTTATAGCAGGGGTCCCTAACCCCTAGGATGCGGACCGGTACCACCAGTACCACAACTGGGCCGCCAGCAGGAGATGAGTGACGGGCAAGCAAAGTTTCATCTATATTTGTAGCTGCTCCCCAGCGCTAGCATCACTGCCTCAGCTCTACCTCAGACCATCAGCCATTAGATTCTTATAGGAGCACTGGTCTCTGGCACCAAAAAGGTTGGGGACCGCTGGGTCATAGGACCCTTTTAGATGTATCACTCTTAGTCTATATGACATAAGTCTGGCCTTCCAAGTCAGTCCACATCCTGTCTCACACTGCACCCACTCTGAATCATAGACTCTTTCTAGAGTTAAGATCTCTAATTTCTGCTCCCTTTTCACTGCCCCCCCCAATCAAATCTGTTTCCTAGGCTCTGTGGTCCCCCCTTTTTTACCTCTTAACATCCTTGAGCATTCCGAATTCTTCAGCCTCCATCTCCACATCCCATCCCCCATATATTTTTGGCTCTTGAATTCAAAATCCAACTGAGGTGTGAGGCCTCCTCATTCTGAGCCAGTCTCTCTCTGCCCACTCTTGGGCTTGTTAACCCAACTGTGCACAGGAATGGCTTATGACACCTGAAAACAACAACTAATCTCTGAAGTAATGATTGAGTCTTCAGAGCTAGAATATGGGAGAGGAAACAGTCCAATCCTCAGGCTCCCTCTCTGAGCTATCTACCCCGTGGAAAAAAAAAAAAAAAAAGAAAGCAAGCAAGCTTCCACTCTCATCCAAGAGACAAAGGGAAAGGGAGGATATAAGAAAAGACAGGTTCTGTCCTCAACTTCATTACTCCAGGAAGCCAAGAATTCTGGAGGCGGCTGCTACAAGGGTGGAGTGAAACACTAAGCAGGAACGTGGTGGTGTGGGGAGATGGAATGGGGGGCGGGGCCTGAAGCCAGGAAAGCCCCACCCCTGGGCAGGGGACAGACTGGAAGGTGGGAAGTAAGGGGCCCTCAGAAGGGGAAATATATATATAAAATCAGAGAAGGAAGAGATAGTTCAAAAAAACCTAACGTTCTTATCTTTGGGTCTTGCCTGAAGCAAGACTATAAACCTTCTAGTTTGACTATATGTTAACCCAGCTTCAGTATTTCCCTCCCCATCTTCTCTCCGCTTCCCTTAGCCTTATTTTTAAGTGCTTGAATCCCTCCATCTGCTTGGACTGGTAGTTGGAGGTACACTATAGGATGAGATTGAGAGGAAGATTGAGATTGGTAGTTGGAGGTACACTATAGGATGTTTCAAGTTAAGTAGGGAGAGTTAATGGGAAAATATGGGGGTGGGGTGAGAAAAGATAACAATAACAATCAAGAGAACTCCTCGGTCCAGGGCTGTGAGATGACCATCGTCATCTCTCTAGTCCACTAATCTTCATCCGAGTCAGCCACAACTGACAGCATCCGGCATCCAGTCATAGCCACTAGTCATGTGTATGCTTCCAAACATCACAAACGCACACCAGGCTGAAGTCAGGAGGTTAGGAACTTTAAAAGAAGACAGAAACTAGGTAGAGAAAGAAAAGTGGGCCAACTCTACAAAACGGAACAACTTCTACCTCTAAAAAAGGGACTGAATTGAGAAAAAGAAGTTTCTTCGGATTTTCATCTCTTTAAAAAATCGCTAGTTAAAACCAGTCCATGTTTTCTCCAAATACAATTCTCTGGCTTTCTAAGGGGGCGGGAGGATCAATTGCCCCAAAGATCTAAGCCTGGGGACTCCCAAATACTCTCCACAAATAAAATCCTTAACAGTTTGAAACATTCCCCAGGCCCGAAAGAGCTCTGGGCACCTAAAGTGTATGCATGTAGCCAGACTGAGGTGTTCGCACTCTGCAGGCATCTAGAGTTCCTTGACGTTCTACATCTTGTAAGGTTTTATCCCCAGGGAGTCAGTGTCGTAAAGCTTTTGGATTGGCGAGGGGCGGGGGAATGGGAAGGGGGGAAGGGAAGGGTTGTGGGGGCCAAGTCTTGCATGGGTGAAAAAGAGCAAAGATTTCAGCCTCTCCCCACCTCCCTTCAGCGTATCAAGCTTTATAGAGAAGGACTGAGAGGAAAGTGAACACAATGAGGGGTCAACCTCTTGATTAGGGCCCCCCTGAGACCAAGAACTCCCCAAACAGTGGGGGTGGCTTCTTCAGTACGGAAAGCGTTAAAACCCAAACGCTCCTGCATCACCTTTATAGTCTCCTTAGCTTATCCCTTCACAGACTGGAAAGCGGGGTGACTCCCCATAAGATCGCCCCCAAATTAGGCCAAGTTTCTTACCCCACAGACGGATCAGCTGTTCCCTCACCTTTCACCAACAACAAAAACAGCACTCCGACTCCTAGAGAGGAGGGAGAAGAGCGGGCGCGAGGCTTTCTGGGGTTTGTGGTTCCTCCGCGCCCTTTTGCCGGCGAACCTCCTAGGATCCGGGACTACATGTCACAGGAGGCTGTGCGCAAGGAGGGCGGAGTAGGGGGCGGTCGTGACTGCGGCCTCACTATTGCAGTCTGGGATGCGTAGTTCTCACCACCATGACAGTAAACGAGGGTGTGGCCATCAAAGGACTTCACGGCCCATGATTCCTTAGGAGGGGGCAGGCTATGTTAGTGGTGACTGCTGGTTTGTAACGTGCGTGGTTGGGGGTGGGGAGGAGTTAAGGCTCTAACGCCTTCCGTACAGTACTTTACAGAGATCCCCAACGAGATAGTCTTTCGTTCACTTTCAACCGCAGCGAGCTGTTAGATAGGCGGTATTGTTATCCATACTTTACAGAGGAAGAAACTAAAGCCCAGAACGGTTAGGGAACCGGTCTAAAGTATCAAAGTTATGAGATGGTAGGACACCAGGATTGCACGACTCCGTGTGCAGTGCTCTTGCCACTACATTACAGCTATCTACCATTTAGGACATGGGAAGCTAACAGCTGTGCTAGCAGTTTCTTCTTTGCTTCAACCTCAGGGACAGCACCTGTAAAACCTACGTGTTGTGCGCCATTATTATTATTTTTTTCTTTCCAGTTTTAAGGTTTCAGTAATGGGCCTTCCAATACACTCCTCGAGTGGGCCCCCCTAGAGTGACCTCTAGGTCTAGGAAGAGAATCCATTGCCTGAGGATAAAGTAGTGGGGAGAGGGGAGGTCAAGTGGAAGAATGAAATTGGAAGGGGAGCCTGGAAGAATTCAGGACCTGTCACAACTCACAAACAAGCCACTTACTGGGGCCACAGTTTGCCTAAAGCCTTTTAATTGGCTTAAATTAATTAGGATAACCATACATGTTGTTGTTCCTGGTTTTGTTTTGTTTTGTTTTGTTTTTTTAAGAGGTGAAAGGTTCACAGTCCTCCCACAGCCCAAGTTAGAGTCAAAGCCTTGGGCGTACATCCTGCTCTGGGGCCCGCCCCCTGTCCCGTCCCCATGTATGCTGAGGCATTCTAAATGATCTCTCTCCCTGTCTTCATGTTAGGAGATTACAGTCCAAGGATTGATTTGCTCTTCCTGGGTGCCTGCTTTAATTCTCTGCTACACTAACTTATGGAGCCTCTGCATTTTCTAAGTTTTTTGGTAGTATTTTGCTTTTACGACTGAATAGGGTGTTTGGTGCCTGACCCTGGGTCAGGCAGAATAAGTCACTGGGCTTCACAAACATTAGGTGACATGTCTGTGTAATTAGTCAAGATTTATGACTATTCCTGTTTAATGAGCTGCTTGTTGAGCTCAAGGTCCTGGGATAAGTTAAGAGTGAGGCCAAAACAAAACAAAGAGTGAGGCCAGTTCGGGCACCCATGTGTCAAGTATTCTTGGTTTTTATCTTACACCCAGAATAAGAGCTTGGAGGAAAACTCAGTCTCAAGCAGGTGCCAAGAATAATAACTCCTATTTATTGTGTTCTTACAATGTGTTTAAACTATGCTAAGAAGTTTTCCATTTAATACAACAGCCTCTGTAGTAGGCCCTATTATTATCCCCACTTTATATATGATGAAGACTGAGGCACAGATAATTAAGTGATTTACCTGTGGTCACCCAACTAGTAAGTGGTAGAATCAGGATTCGAGCACGAATAGTCAGTACATCATAGTAATATATTCCCAGTACACTATATTCCCACCCCAGAAACTCCTGGTATGTGATACTAACTCCCATTGTTCTAAGGAACAGTGCCGTTAATCAGGGAACAAATGTTCACTGAGCATTTATATGTGCGAGGCATGAAGTGATGTTAAACAGATTCATTCAACAAATATTTGTGTCAGGAACTATGCTAGGTATTCATTAAATTTTGCTGAAAGAATGAATATAAAATACAGATATGCAAAGGATGGATTGGATTTGGATAGTTTGACAAGACAGGTCTAGGAAGGATAAGCTTATTCTAGGCTGAAGCAAAGATTCAGAGCTAGGAATGAATAATGTTTATTGGAATCTAGGAGGTCACGTAAGAACAGTATATCAATTTAAACTTTTTTTTTTTAATCCAATTCAGGTTATTGATAATGACTGACTGAAATGTTGTGTTGAGAAGGACTGGAAGGAAAGAGTTCTAGTATTAATTAGTAATGTCTGTCATGTACTTCAGATGGAAGATGGCGGTTGTAATAGATTGACTTATTGTTTGAAGTTACTTACTTCCATGCCCATTGCCATGTGAATTGTATTTCCTGTAGAAGGAATATATGTCTCATTTAACTGACTTTGGACTTGATCATATTTCATATTTTGGCCAATGGGATGTGAATAGGTGTGACTCATGCCATGTTCGAGGATGTGAGTTTCCATTTTCTTACTTTTCTCTGCCACTAGAATGGGCGTATTCCACAGGAGAGTTGTTTCTTCTACCTGGGTTCTGGAATCAGAAGATCCATGAGGCAGAGCTGTGGCCTGCCCACAGCCTAGGTATACATAAGTCAGAAATAAACTTTTGTTGCTGTAAGCCCCTGAGATTTTGGGATTGGATGTTATTGCAGCAAAGGTGACTAAGAGCCATAACTGGATAATGATATCAAGTTTGAAAGGTAAATGGTATCAACTCTGAAAGATCAAGTTTGAAAGGTAAGTGTAAGCTGGAGTGTGGATAATCTTGAATGCCAGGTGAGGCAGAGCCTGCTATGTGTTTATCAGATCTCTTTCCTTCATTTTCTTAGACACAGAGCCTTTTATAAGGGCACTAATTCTATCATTTTTCAATTTTTCTTTAAGTGATTTCTTCCACTTCCAGGCTTGGCGCATGAAACCTCTCAAGAGAGATCCTTCATGTTCCTTCCTTTCTGGCTTGATACATATAACCTTAAGCACAGTGACCTTGAAGGCCAAATGTTAAAGATGGTGGGGCCACAGGTTGGAATAAACCTAGCACCCTTAATCACCCTTGGCAGAGAACCTCCTACTAATCACGAACATGCCTTTTGGAGTTCACTTGACCAATAAATCAAATTTTCTTTGCTACACCACTAAACTTTTGGGCTTATATTTTATAGTAGCTAGTATTTTCTTAACCCATACATCTAGTTAAAGAGTTTGGACTTGATTCCCACCAGGAATAGGAAGTTAGTCACTGATAACTTTTTTTAAACAAGGGGAATAAGAATGTGAAGACTGTTGGAAGTGACAGTTACGGGGAACAAAAAATACGTCTGAGTGAGGTTGTGGGATTTTGGACTGTTGGAGTTTTCAGAATACAGGGTAACTCTTGCCTGGGGTTAGGGGAAGATTGACATGATCTTTGGAAGGCTCTCTAGAGGCTGTGGAAGAAGCTTCTGCAAAATGAATTTTATTCTCTGAAGTTTAAAGTCTCTTTTCTCTTTTGTAAAAGTCCTAACTATGATATTTCTTCATCTAGCCCAGTGCCTGATACATAATAAATGTTGAATAAACGTTGGTTCTGGAGTCTTGGAATGCTTTGAGGAGTTACCACTATTTGCGTGCCTGCTATGTGAGAGGGCTCTTCCTCTCATAAAATCATCACAATAACCATGCAAGGTGCTATCAGATTTTATAGATGAAGAAACTGAAACTCTAATAGTAGCTTACCCAAGGTGTCTCAGAACAATCTTCTTCTGAAACCCATGTATTTTCCCATATGAGATGATTTCTCAGAAAATCATAATGGCCAGTATTTACTGAATGCCTACCATGTGTCAGGTGCTCTATGGGATGCTTTACAAACATACAGAAGCAGTTGATGTATCAGTTATTGTAGGCTGTTACTAGTGTTTCCAAACTGTGGACTCTGTGGGAAGTAAGTGTCACAGTCTGCTCTGGCTGCCATAACAAAATATCATAGGCTCAGTGATACTGTGGACTCTGTGGGAAGTAAGTGTCACAGTCTGGTTGCCATAACAAAATATCATAGGCTCAGTGACACAAACAACAGGAATTTATTTCTCACATTTCTAGAGGCTGGGAGGTCCAAGATCAAAGTACTGGCTGGTTGGGTTCCTTGATGAAGACTCTTCTCCTGGCTTGTAGACAGCTGACTTCTCACTGCGTCCTCACATGGAGGAGAGTGAAAAAAGCAACATCTGTGGCCTCTTTTATAAGGGCACTAATTCTATCATGAGAACCCCACCCTCATGACCTCATCTAATGCTAATTACTTCCCAAAAGCCCCATCTCCAAATACCATCACGTTGTGGTTTAGGGCTTTAACATAAGAATTTTGGGTGGACACAGACATTCATTCCATAACAGTAGGAAAAACATTAACATAATTTTAGGGCTAAGTTTGATTGTTTTGGACTTTCCTTAGGGGCCCTGTCCCATTTTCTTTTGTCTTCTTAGTTTTTTGGCTCCAATTTTCTTGGGCTGGGTGTAAGGGTGATATATATAGGGTTCTCAGAAATACTCAGGTCCTGTCGCTCTTGCTTTACTCCATAGACCTACAAACCCACTCTAATCTCAAAGGTGTTCAGATCGCCTTCCTTCATCAGTTGGGAGCAAGATGTGGCTCTGAGAACTCATCCACCCATTCATTCATATACATTCATTCACGTATTCATTCATGGTTATTTATTCAAAATATTTTAAATAAGCATTATGTGTCAACTGCTGAAATAATAGCCAATGACAATTGTAGTTTTCTGGTTTCAAAGGCCTTTTACATTCTTGGACTCACTTGATCCTCACAACCAATACTGTGAAGTGGATCATATTATTATTATGCAATTTTTATCAGTGAAGAAACCAAGGCTATGAAATATTAAATAACTTGACCAAAGTCACATAGCAAGTATGGGATTCAAATCAAGAATTTCTGACTCCCAAGTGCTTCTCACTGCCCTCTATATCCATCACAGCACAGATTCTACAGTGCCTCAAGCCTGATTTCTTGCAATTTTGATTTTACTATCTTGATTCGTATATTACGGTAGATATAACAGCTACAACAGACAAACCCCAGATCTCAGTGTCTCAACAT